AAACCAAATCTGGAGAGTTTACTTTGATTAACTGAAAATAAAATAAAATTTTTTGTTCTATTACAAACATTTCCTATAAAATACTTATAACAATAATAATAATAATAATAAAAATAACCACCTTTGCCAAAGCTTTCATTAACGGCTCATTGTCTTGCATTCTGCCCGCAGTATCAACAAGTACAATGTCAATGTTAGAATCTCTAGCATATCCTATGGCTTCCATGGCGATACCAGCCGCATCTTTGCCTAAAAATTTTTAATGTATTTTAAAAAACAAAACAAATACAAAAAAATCAAAACTTTACAACTTCGTGTTATGATTAAAAATTTAATTTAAACACTAAAGCTCGATAATAAAAATAATTGTTAAAAAAAAAATATTAAAAACTTTGGTTTAACAATTTACTTTAATTGCATATTTAATATCACTTACCATATCCTTTTTCATACAGTTGCACCATTTGTAAATTATTATTTTTCTCCGGTGGATGCAATGCATTCAGATGTCTAGTATGAGTTCTTAGCTGTTCAACTGCTCCTGCTCTGAAGGTATCACAAGCAGCAATGAGAACTCTAAATTTATTTTCAATAAGCCAAAAGCAAATCTGAAAAATTTTTAATTATTATTTAAGTAAAAATAATATTATGCAACTAAATACTTTTAAATAAATTTAATTTTAAAAAAATTAACCTTAGCCAAATTTGTGGATTTTCCAACTCCATTTACTCCACAAAAAACCATTACATAAGGTCTTGATTGTTTTTTCGCTTCGAAAGCATCACGAAGAATATCGACACGACGACGTGGAGACAAGATTTGAACTAATGATTCATTTAATGTAGCTTCTACTGTGGTAGCAATACGATCAAATGTACCCAAGATCTAAACAAAAAAAAAATTCAGTTGAAGGCTAATGTCTTCTTTAACCTTTGAAACTGAGGTTTTTTTCAATAATAATTCTCATTTAACAAAAACATTTAATCAAAACTAACTTTTCCTTGTAATTTGACTGCAACACTGTCACACAATTTTCCAGCTATATCAGCTGCGACATTTTTGGCAATTAAATGATCTTTTAACTTATCCAAAACAGGAGACATGTCTTCTAATGTTAAAGCTTTACTTCCTACTAGACCCCTAAACATGGAAAACATTCCTTTTCCTTTCGGAACTGTCTGATTATTTGAATTCGAAATCATTTCTGTTTCATTTTCTTCTTCGTCACTGGCTGAATCGACTTCAATGTCTCTAATAGAGCCTACCATTTTACCTACCATCTGTAATAAATAACTTTTAGATATTTTCGTCCAAAACTTAAAGTGTCAGTTTAAATTTAAAAACAATTAAAGCATACTGCAGTATCAGGATTGAAATGAAGGTCTGTGGTTGGTTTGTCCTTTGTTCTGTCTAGCTCATCCAAATCCTTAACAGTTCCTCCTAAATCCCAGACTCTGGGTTTTTTACCTTCTTTAGATGGTTTAGGGCTTTTTGTTTTATCCTTTCCTTTTTTATTATTAAATTTCATTGCAAGTTTTGAAAGATTTTGCAATCTTATTTCTTCAGAGAGTTCTCCATTAGTCAAATGATCAGTTTTTGGTGTTTCGGTAACTTTTTCAGCATGCAGTTTAGAAGCTTCCTTTTTAACTATAGTAAAATTTTTAAAAAAAACAAGTAAAAATTAATATAATTTATTAATAATATTTTGATACTAATTTACCATAATATTAATTAAATCATCATAATATGAACAAATACAGTTTTTTTTATTAAAATAAAAATTATTATGTAAGACTTTTAAATCATAAAAATAAACTGACAAAAAAGAAAAATGTATGCTTACCTGGAACTTTTTCCTTAACTTCTCTTTTTTCAATCATAGAAGCAACTGTTTTTTTAGATTTTGCTGATTCTTCAAAACTTCTCATTTGCTTGGGAATTTTATTCTGAATTTTACTCCATTGCTCAGCGGAATGTAATGCTTTTTGATAGGAATCACTAAAATCAAAGTCCTAAAAAAAATTTAAACGTGATTTAATAATTTTCATTAATATCAAATAATGTTTTTAATAATAATTAAAATTTTTTTTTTAAACATACTTGGAAATATCTACTTAATTTTAAATCATCTTTATACTTGTCTCTAAAAAGAAGGTGAACATCATTTAAAAACTTATCAATGTAGGAGAGTTGTAATATTTTTTGATAAGCAACTACAAATACCAATTCAAATTCATTGTCAAGTTTATACTGAAGTCTCAATGCTTCATGCTCATAGCTATTGTTTCCAGATCTTTCCTAAAAACAAAAAAAAAAATTATTATTATTATAAATATTATATAACAACACATTTAAAATAATGTTATTTAATATATTATCAAAAAAAAATAATTAAAGTATGTTTTAACGAATTTTAGTAAAATGAAAATTTATAAACATTACATTACTTATTTTATTAATTTTAAGATAGGAAAAGACAAAATTAAAAATTAGTAATGATAATTACTAATAATTAGCAATTAAAACTAAGAGAAAACTCTAATTACGAATTCCATATTTTAACAGATATCACTTATCATTTAAAATAAAAAAATATTTACCTGTAAAATTACGGTACGAATTAAAGCATTTACAGAAGGAGTAAATATTTGGCTAGTACTTTGAAAACACCAAAGTACAATTCCACCTCTGCTAAAAATAGTGAACAAATCCAACATTGTAAAAAAATTTTAATACGATTAAAAATTTTCTATTATGAATAATAAAAAGTGACAACTCATAAGAATCGTGGCACTAATGATAATACTATTTTAAAGTGTAATCAGACTTTTTCAAACTCAAGTGCAAATTGTAATTTCTGAATACTTTCAATTTTACAGTTTGCCAACATGAGAAA